AATATTATTAGTTAGATAATGTCTTGCCCCTTGTGACGAAGGGGTTGCCTTTACAGTTGGAGATTTAAGGCATCCTTATTGCAGCCACCGATTGGCCATGCACATTCGTATAAAGGCGACTGTATGGGCTCAAAATAGGTATATCCATCTCTTAGCTCCAGTAGGTGAAGTGGTTTTGACCCATGGAGTTGTAATAAGTTTGTAACACCCGAGGTTAGCCAAATACATATTTCCTGCTTCTTCTCCATTTGACCTCAACTATGTTGGTGCGCTGTTAAACCGAACCAAACAATAAATATATACATCTAAATTGGTGATTTGATTCTGCTATGGCTTGATGACTGCCAATGAAAGTTGCTTTGTTTTAAATCTAGCTAAATAGAATTAAGGACTTCTCTTTGGTCGTGTCATATACCTAAAAAGGTTTTCACTATAGTTTCAGTAGCAACCTTTCCATTTTTTGTCCGCAAACACTGTCAACACCTTTCCATAGAAAAAGCTCCTGGTAATATCATTTGTTCTCGTCTAATGACAGTATATTATAATTTTTTCTTATATATAATACTTTTTTTGAGCATAAACCCATAATATTTATTTTACAAAGCAAAAAAGAATACCCCAAAAGTCACCATGTTTTTCGTATTCATGTCAGCGAGCTTATGATGAAATAAAAAACATTAAAAAAAGAAGGGGTAAAAAAAGATTTTTGATATGATCAAAAATATCTTTTTTAAAAGCGAATTTTATCATATGAAAAATTGATGTTAGCCCTAAAGCTGCCGTCCCTTTAAACAGACATTTGCTTTAAAAATAAATATAAAATAAAAATAATTCTACTAAGTGATAGTGGATAACTGTTTTGCAACAATTTTTTAAAATCAAATTTTTTTAGCTTTTATTGAATTTTATAAAAAAAGCCTGACAGTTTTGTCTGGGGCTTTACGATATCTGCTTAAAATATGTAATTGTACAGAAATGTGTCAACAGCAAAAAAATTTAAACGAAAGATTTTTAAATTTTTGAACATCCAAACCATTTTATGAAGTAATTGATTTGGCATATTTGAATGCCATTAAAAGATACATTACATTAAAGGAAAACTAGTGTTTTTTCATTTTTTTTATTTGTCTAGATTTATCTCCCTAAGATATAAAGAGTATATCTTGATGTACAAAGAAATTGTAAAACGTTTAACTATCACCAATGGTGTTCATAATATCATATAACATTATGTGAATAAATCACCATCTGAGTGAAATGCGACGGCGCCCATGTACCCAAGCATCCCTTCCCTAATGTTTTAGAGGAGTTATTACCCTATTTTATACATATTTAATGCTCTGTTGGGGGACGGGAGCGGGCGGCGTGGCCAAGTGTTTAAGGTCGTTGACTTCGCTGTGGATTCCAATCCATCTAGGGGATTTGGAATATTTCATGTGAGGAAGCCCTCCAGCTGGCTTACGGAACGTCGGTGGTTCTACTCATGTATATGTTCGAAGGTCTTCCTTTATCAATAATGCCATAAAGTCGCTATATGACCTGCACAGTGTTGGTGCGACGTAAAACCCAACGAAACAAAATGCACGGTGGCATAACTGGAAGACTTAATGACCTATCAACATAAAATGAAATGTGCCAGATGGAGTCACCAAAGAACGAATTAACTTCGGCGAATATAGCATCGTTTCATTCATTGTTTTCTCATTTTAAGGCATTTTATTTTATAACAGTATTATGTCCGTTTGTAGCCATTTTAATCGCGCAAAATAAAAAATGATTGTTTTTTTTTCACAAAAAATTTTCGTTTTGGGGGGTTTGTTCTTCAAATAATTTTGTCTGTAAAGGAATATTTTTCCAATGCAAAAAATTCAAAATTATAAGAATTGGTTACATTTTTTTTTATCTATCAAAAATTTATCTGTCAAAAAAGATTTCATATTTCTTGTTTATATAAAATTCCATAAAATTTTTTAAACAAAAAACAGAATGAAATCACATTTTAACATTTGTTAATTTTTGTTTAATAAAGGGTAAACTAAAATTATTATTTATAAGATATTTTATTAAGAACGACTCTGATTACTTGAAAAATACTGTATGCATTTGTGGGCGAGTACCGACGTGAAACTGATAAACCCAATTTTTTAAGTGTACAGATCTATGTATAATATCGTATGATAGAGATAATGTCAATTAAATAACGTAGATAACATCGTCTTCGATGTAGATAGAGAAATATTCGAGACTGGTACTGATATATAAGGCGATTCAGAAAAGAGATACACGCAAACATAAGTACTAAAATACGTGGTATAGGGGGTTAGTACATATATACATAGTACATCACCGACGAGGGCTCAAAAGTTTCAAAACCTAAAAGCCAAACAATATATAATATAAATGAATATGAATGATAAATAAAATAAAATAATAACAAAAAGCAACGTAAATGGGTGCTTACCAATTAAGAATGCTTTTTTCTTCATTTTCAACCCCATGTAATACCTCGATTGAAAGGGGTTTAAAAGTAAGAACATAGAACGCAATACATTACATTACATGAGCACGTTCCTAGTCACAAAATATTTCTTCTTCTCCCTATGTGATGTTAGTCTTTTTTTAATTTCACTCACAATCAACTCTTTATCTGAAGTAAATCTTCTGATAAATTCGTTTATCTGTTTTCTACAAAATCAAACACAAATAACACACCTACTGCAGATCTACATATCTTTTTTTAAACATGCCTTAATTGATCTTAATCCTTGTTTTAATTTGTAGATTTATGGCTTACATATTCATGAAAATGTAAAAAAGACTACCCGAATGGAAAAAAAAAAATTTTGCAGGCCTTGGTTTCATTGCGGGCTATTCCCCCAAGAACATAGACATATGAATCCGAAATTCGAACTTTGTTGTCTCTTCGTGTTTTCTTTTTTTCAGATTTTCGAGGCAAAAAAAGTGAAAAATACGACAGAAGGAGGGGTGAATATTACAACACATTTAAATCTGTCATATATTCGCGCATTCCATCTGTCGTATTTACGTTTATTTCGTGTTTTCAAATCCAAAAATGCGAAAACACAATGTTTACATTTTCCTTTTTTTTGTATTTCGCTTGTTTCGCATTGTTACTTTTTTTCGCATTGTTACTTTTTTGCTTTCCGCATCCTCGCATTTTTAGTCGAAGCAGCGAAAATACGATGTCACCAGAATATCTATTACTATTACTGAGTTTTCTCTTCATGGTCACATTTGTGAACTTACTTCCGAGCTTTGACAACAACATTTAGCTTGTATATTTTAGTTTGTTTGCCTTTTACGGCGCACCGACACAATTTGGGTTATATAGCGGCGAAACAGGAAAGATGAATTTGGTTCACATCGGATGTTACAATCTTTAAGCAACACCAGGGGTCAAAACCACCTCACCTGCTAGAGCCAAGAGATATTTAGACTCTAGTTATTCGATCCCATTATGTCGCCTCTTGCAATCACGCAGGTCTATTTCATACTATGACAGCAGGTTTAGTTTGTTAAATTTCATATAAATACCTTTTTTATTTTACTTTTAGGATAACAATTCCCCCAAATTTCATATACGCGTTAGTAAATGAAAAAACAATTATGAAAAATTTTGAGCATTTATAATTCAAACAATTTTTTTAACAATTGGTGTAATATTCCTCAATTATGAGAAATGTCTTTTTTCTTTTTTGCAGCAATCCCCTGGAATACCTTTTAAACATGGGGTTTTCGTTAAACCGACATAAATCTGACCCGACAAAAATCAGGGCAAAACAAGACAGGTTTGCAGTCGACGGTATCTTTAAAAGGGTAAATAGGTTATAGCTTAGTTAAATTGTTTTCTACATTAAGGCAAAATTTTGTGATGCGTACAACCCAACTAAAATTTGGCCCAAACTTTTTCGACGAGGCATATTCAGGGCGTGAAAGACAAATGCTACTCATCTCATTTTTTTAACTTTTTAATTGATAAATTAATAAAAAAATTTATTACTAAACTTAATCAAAAAAATATTTATACATACTTTGCCCTTTTAAATTAAACCTGTATTTTCCATAAACTAGAAACAATTGTAAGCCCAAAAAAATTTCCCTATTTTTTTCTTTTTTGTTAAAATTTTATATTGTCTTTCAACAATAAAATTTCACACCTCACTTTTTTAAAGCATTAAAACATATTGAAAACAATACTCATATAAAAAATTAAAAAAAGGAAAACTTTATACATTTGGGAATTTAATTTTGTTTTGATGGGATGATTCTAAAAAAAAGCAAAAATTTCTGTATTCCTTTAAGTTAAAAACCCAACAATACCCTTTTAATAATATATCCTACCTTTGAAAAAATTTCGCCTTCTTTGGAATTTTATTTAAATTTTTTTTGACACATTTTGTTTAAGATATCGATCTCTCAATCTATCCTTTTACGAAGTACTATAAATGTTTTAAATATTAAGGGTTAACTTGTCACAGAAATAAGTTGCTAAAAGTGCGCATAGCCTTGAATAAAATATCAGACTGTCCTGCATATCTTCAACCCTTGTATATAACTTTAACAAATCTTAAATTGTCATCTTAATCAGTATATTGCAGATTATTTAACAATCTCTAGCTTGTTACACACATTATCTGAACTACCTGTTTATAACATGTATATTCGTTCACATGTATACGAAATAAATTGTACCTGATACCTATTCATTCACATTTCAATTCATTCATCTTTTCAATATTTCTTGAATTAAAGCAGGGGGCTGTTGTTTGATTTATAATACAATGATGAGACACTATGCTACAAAAATACAACTTGAGATACCTATAGTTTGAAATAAATGTCTTTCCCTGAAAAAGATTTGAATTTGTAAAGTGCCAATGCATTCTTTTTTTTTTCAAATATTATTTGTTAAGAATTCCACAATTGAAAATACCATGAACAACACCGCTCCTTTTTATAGTGTGTTATTTCGTATGTCCAGTTTTCTTATATAGGGTATCCAGGAAGATTTCACAATTCAAGATGCAACGGGTAAACATCTAATGGCGATGACAGTGTTTACGTTATCCATAGAATACTTAAAAGATGATCTGATAGACATGTCTAAGACGCAAGTTCTCGACGGTAATTTGACAGAAAAGGATATCCAGTGGGTTTTAACAGTTCCTGCAATATGGGGCGATACATCCAAACAGTTCATGCGTGAAGCTGCCGAAAATGTAAGATAAATAATGTTTATCATCATCATCAACATCATCATTTTTATTATTATTATTATTATTATTATTATTATTATTATTATTATTAATATTATTATTATTATGAGACCTTAAGAGGTGCGTTCTTGACAAATAATTGCGTCCAAAGTATTTGTAAAATGCTGATACTAGTTCAAGTACTATATCAGTTTTATTTACGTTAAGTGCTTTATTTTAAATAAATACAAATTATTATAGCAAGGGAAGTAAATCTTGACGTATCGTCAATGGAAGATACTGAAATGAGAAAATAATAAAATCTTGAAAAGAGAAGATCCCATAAAAAAGAAAGTTACAAGAATAAGATCGCAGACTCAGTTTGAATAAGTGTTTTAGGTCGCTGACTTCGAACCACTTGCTCTTCATCGCAATAGATTCGAATTCCGTCAAGATATTTGAATACTTTAATGTGAAGAAGTAATCAAGCTAGCTTACGGATGTGTAGGTTCTACTCGGGTAGCCGTTGTTTATTAATAAGTCTATTTCGGACTGTTGTCTTTGATTCTCAGCGACTTCTTCAAGGACAGTTTAAAGCGAACGTGAAATTAAAGATACTTTCGGGAAAAGATCCACAAAATATGATAATTCAATCACAAACTTTCGATGATGTTCCTGATTTTGAAACCAAACAGTTTTTATGCAGCAGGAAAAATATCTTACCTGTAGACAAAAAAGCATATGGGACCATCATAAACTACAGAGGCAATAAGATATTTAAAGCAAGTAAGGGCGATAATTTAAAGATAGACACAGGCAAAATTTTCATTTCTTAGTTTTGAATTTTTCATTCATTATTCTGTAAATGTCCTCAAAATAAATACCCTAAACAGTCAAAGGAACAAAACTTTTCTCCATATAAAGAATAAAATGGTGTTTTCCTAACTTGACCCGCGTGGGTCAGGTTAGAGCACAAAGAGTTCACAATAGTTGTCACTGTGTACTCTGGAAACGTTAAAGAACATGTCAAATCAATTACTTAGACTTATTTCTATCATACAATATCCACAACACCTGTTATTGTAACTTCAAGGGTTTGTTCAAATCACATGACTTGTTTTTTTAACTATTCGGTGATTCTGTTGGTGTCTAAATAAGTTTCAACATATATAATTATTTTCAAGCTTCAAACCCAAAATATATAGAATTTATACAGAAATTCATGCTGGGACTTTAAGAAATGTCATTTTAGGGTGATTTGAGTACAGAAGATAATTTTTATTTTTTTTTTTGTCATTATTTTGCCTGAGTATCCCTTTAAAAGAGCATCGGAGGAAGAAATTTGAATTTCAGAAGGTGGCAGATCCAGAGTCTGATATCCTTCTTTTATGATAAAGAAATGGTTCCTTTAAGTAAAAATAAATTGAATGTGGACGGTGAAAATCTACTTTGTACTAAATGTTTCGAGAAGAGAAAAAAACGTGATTTTTGTGAAAATTAGTTCAACATTCTCAAACTGATTGAAGTACATTTCCACTTTAAATCTTACTTAGGTGAAGGTATACAACATCCACATTCTATGAATGGTATCTGAGCTATGATACAAATACTTCTTGTATCATGCACAATATTTAGTTTATTATCGTGTCTCATTTCTGTTCTACATTTTTTAATTATTCTTCAAGGCAGGAATAGAGAACGAGCGCCTCATCATAGCTCTTGAACCGGAAGCTGCATCCATTTATTGCCGTTTAGTTCCAACAACAAGAAATCAGGACTCCCTCGGGAAATTACCAAGCGGGAGCAAATATATGATACTAGATGCTGGAGGTACATACATTTTAAAATATAATGTAAGGTATCCAAATAAAATCAGGTAAAAATATGTTACTTCATAGCATCAAAGTATGAACATATAGTTACCGGTTCATATCACCACAGTTAATAATGACATCACAAATTTCCCTAGCAAGAAGACACAAGTCTTCTATTGAGCCATGTTTATTTAAAGATGATATAAAATAATAAGGAACAATTTACACAGAAAATTTATCAAACATTTATCGCTTATAATTAAAAAGAACTTTAATTCATAAATTAATTATATAAAACGGAATTTTAAAAGGAGGAACAATTGACATAACAGTGCACGAAACGACACAAAACAATGGGCTCAAAGAAATATACAAGGCTAGCGGAGGAGACTATGGTGGTACAATGGTTGACAGAGCTTTCGAGGAATTTATCTCTGAAATTTTGGGTATTGTTTTACTACTATTCTTCATTTATTAATGTTTCTAGAGAAGCAAGAGTGTTTGATTAAATTTAATTTAACTGTATATAATTATAAATATTTATTGACTGAATATAAATATTTCTTTAATGAATAGTGCCAGATTGTATGACAAATATGGTACCTGACATTTTCATATTCTAGTAATATCAAAACTAGATGTACTAGGTAAAAGGTTTTGTATATTTATCAAGATTCTTGACAAAATCTGAACAAAGCCAATCAATTCAGTATTGTTTTGTTTGGTTTTATGATGTCGAAAGAGGAAAGATGATTTTTGGCAAACCTCGGGTGTTACAAAGTTAAAGCAAAACCAGGGACCAAAACTATCTCACCTGCTGGAACTAAGAGATTCATAGACTCCTTATTCAATCCGATTTAGTCGCCTCTTACCATTATACGGGGATAAACTATGACATCAACCCTTAAAGGCAACCCTAAGCCTCAAGATAAATCAATATCTTTATTTAGGCACTCTTAGAAAGAAAATGGTTAATCATTTGGTAAAAACTGTCGAGGTTGGGCTTATAATCGAGACTTTGAGTACTAATAATTTGGCTTGTGCGTTTTGTTAGCTTAAGACATTTTTTTTTTTGCTTTTGACAATTATAGTTTGAAAATATTGCCAATTATTCCATTATGGATTGATATTACAGATTAAATTGAGAGTTTGTAAATTTTTTTTCCTGGACATGTTAACAATAAAATCTCTGCGTATAAACTTATGACCTTTATATAAACCGGAATGATTTTAAATGAACTAAAAGGTTGAATTGAGCCATTCGGATTTGTAATAAAAAAAAGTACCGTTTTGAATTTTTAAATTACATGGAAAGTAAAAAAAACGTCATATGAAAAAAAATTTAAACCCGATTTTCTGTATTTTTGCTTTGTGTTTTTGCATTTTAAAAACGGGTTTGGCGATGTAAGGGAAAAATCCCTAAAAAGGAAAAATTGAAGAAAAACACTTTATCATGTTTTGTGGGAAAAAATTTTGAATCAAAAAGGGAGAAAAACCCAAAAAAACCAAAAAGAAAATTAAATGTACTTTCCCTTTCTTTTTTTGTTTAAAATTTTTCCCAGAAAAAAGAAAAAAAGAAAAATATTTTGAAAAATAAAATTTCCCAGACGGGTTTAAATGATGAGAAAAAATTAACCCGTAACAGGGTTTTTGAACCAAAACCTAAAAACTTCATCCCAGATTTTATTAAAGGAATTTTTTACCAAAGGTCTTTTGGCCCATTTTTACGAAATCTTTTTAGCCTTCCCTATTTCCCCAAAAACCGGGGGCAAATTTTAAGGGTGATACCATTTTTTTTAATTTTTGGTTAGGGTGGATATTGGGAGTCCCCTTTTTGTTTCAGGGGAGGGTTTATTAAAGATCCCTTTTTCCCAAACTTTGAAAACCGGTTAAACCATCAGAGGGCTGGGCTGGGGCTTCCCTAAAAGGTGCCCTTTAAATTATTTTGGAAACAACCCGGCCTTTAATTGAAAACAGAGAGTTTGAAAATTAAAACATATGGGTTTTGGAAAATCACATATCAGGGGCCCCAAAATTGAAAGACATCCGCCCAGAAAAGAAAACCTGTGAAAATGGTGTTGAAAGATTTTAATGATATATTTTGCGCATGTTCAGCGGGAAAGATGTTAAATCAAAGTAGGAGGCGAATGTAAAAGCCATCAGTTTTTGGCCAGTCGAACCATTCGCAAACAAAATGACATTTCCTATATTACTGTACTAAAGAGCGTATCCTGAGCTATTTTACCCGGATCCATGTTGGGTATAAAATTGGAAAGTGTTACCAACCCAATGCTTGATACAACTGGGTGGGATGTTCTCAAAAGTGTTTATTTGAATTTTCTGTTCGGTGGAAAACAGAAATAGAAGTCAAAAGCGAAAGGACCCCAGAGAAGGGACAGTGGGTAAAATTGAAATTTTCGTTTTAGGGGGTAATCCTTGGTAAATTATGGGAATAGGTGTAGTTTTCTAAAGAAAAGTAAGAAAATGATACGCTGGTATGAATCTATTTACTTGTTTAACAGGAAATTATTTAGCCAAAGCGAAGGAAACCATAGGGAAAGAGACTTGTGAGTTAATTGAAAAATTTTCCGTTTGGGGAAGATAAACTATTGTAAAATAGTGTGAAGCTACTTAAAAGAACAGAAAAATTTATACGAACGCGGAAGAGAAATGCAGACACTGGTGTGCAATCATATTTACGAAACTTTTCTTTCTGTTTAACTGGGAGTAAAAAAGAATTGAAATATTATTATTAAGAATTTAAATAAAAATATGTATAACATGTCATATAAGAAAGGTCATTGATAATTAAAATCCCATGAGATACAGTATTTGACTGATGTTTATGGTTGACGGAAGAATATTGAACATACAGGGCTGTCAAGTGCATTATTACACAAAATATGCATGATATAAAAAGGAAACACTTACACGTCCTGTGACGTCGTATTTGACGCCAATAAACCTAATGACTTCTCCTCTCAATGTAATCTATATATACATATTTATATCAAATATATTATCAAAAAAGTTTAGAGTTACACAGCAATGTAACTATAAGCTTAAATTACTTTCGTTTGCGCAGCATCCGCATAGTCTTTGATTACCCTGATGTCATCTTCATATTGCGCATCTTTTCTCCACGCTTTAGTGAAACTTTCGAACATTGCTGTATTTTTCTTTGACTGTTAAATACAAAAAAAAAATTCTTTTCCGTCAATATGCTATATTTAAGAAAGTAACCAGCATTTCAATAGTAAAACTATTACAATGTTCTTACTTTTCATTGTAACATATAGCATTATCCATATAATCCTCTCCGTACAAGAACTTTATGACGTTCCTCTTATTTTTTGTGCTTCATCTCTTATCTTCTAGGGAAGTAACCGCTGCAGGAAATATGTACTGTTTTTCTGTACCTGCACGCACCAAACAGTCCTTTAACATGAGTAAAAAAAAAACAACAACACGAGTCACACGAGCTAACATCCGGTATATGACCAATTATTTGATTGTAATATTTGTGTGTTCTTTTTAAATGAAGATGATTGTTTCTTTCTTTCAAATATTAAAGCATTGACTTAGTTATTCAAAACTTTTGTCAACTTTAACGGCAAATTACTTAACAATTGTTCCATTGAAACATTTTAGATAACTTAAATATATATATTATATAGACATGAGAGAATAAATACACACATACCACCAAATTGATATACCAGTCCAATTACGGCACAGCGCCTAGCCATTAGATAGCTTAATTCGCATAGTTTCTTTTTAGATAGAAGTTTTACTTTTGAGACACTTCATACTTAATATTATTGTCCGGCGCCTCACTCAAAGAATAAATGTGGTACCAGCATAAACCAAACATGTTGGATGAAAAATGTCATTTCAGAAATAATTAATTTCGTTTGCTATTGCTCGTTGTGAGATTTTACACGGTACTTTTGTCCTTTGCACAACTGAAGGACTGTAAAATTTATCAACAATCAACTTGAACGGTTGGTGAGAAAGGAACAACCCAATAACAATGACATCTTTAGCATAATTTTAACGTTCTGTATGATCACAGCTCGTGTACCATTGAAACTCGTACCCTCACATTTATCAACTCCCATTATGTTTTCATTCTCTATTTACATGACGAGGAAAGACTTTTCCATATCCCCAAACAAAAGGGCATGCGGGGATGCGGGGGAAATTTCGCCACTAAAAGTGAAGATACTTAAAGTACTATACAGAATATAAAATATCTACGTTATTTCAGCGTATAGTCTCTTGACATGAGTTATATATAATCAGTAAAGCATAAAATTGCTTTACCTGTGTATTTTTACTTTAAATTAGATAACGTATCCACACAACATATCAGACATATAGGCTACATGAGACTGATAATGAGATAAAGCATGTTAAGATAAAGAAATAATCCCAAACGTCAGCAATAAACAGGTACGGTCAAGTAAGTAAGTATTTCATCATCATCGAGGGCTCAGAATTCAAAGTCCAATAAGCCCACAGGCACAAAAGCGATAGCAATGTCGATATGGTGTTCTACTTATACAGACATGTTTCTTACAATTTGAATTTTCGGTATGTTGATGCCTCCATTAGAATGTCAAAATACAGACCGTTCAGTTACATAAAAACGTTTGTATCTATTGCAAATTTTTCTATTTTTGAATTCTTTAATTTAAATTAGGTATTAACATACTAATCATAGAAATAACTATATATCTGAAGTGATTTCTATTGAACTTCCTGAAAACATTCTTCTATAAAAACACACATATAAATATAAGGAGATTGAAACAGAAAGAGTTCCACTGAGGTCTGAAAACATAAAAATTGAAATTCTTACTATGACCAGTACTCTGAAAACAGACAATTTCGTTAAAGGTAGCAAAGACATTTATACAGAATTTTACTTAATCCTGTTTTTTATTTGTGCGGTTCTAAGCCTATATTTGTGTTATTCTACAACAAATGATGAGAAATTTTGCAAACAAGTTATTTGTCCTGACCTTATTCAAATAAAACACTTTTCTGAAAAATGTTCAGTTTCTTCATGAAAAAAATCTTTATCCCTTTACAAGCGTTCATACCATCTTACACCGCTAAGCTTTGTTTTCTTTTTAATGTAAAAATTATGAAAACGGAGATCAGCAAGGAAGGGCAACATTCAATGAACGCATCTCCATGACAATACAGCAAAGTAGGACCACCTACACGGATCCAAGCAGAACACATTAAGCTTGTCGCTACATCCCATCTTTACAACACATCAAACTCGTGTTGGTTCAAATTATTTTCCATTATGATTTATTATAGTTAACACACCGTCCCATCCGTGATTTGACTTGTGCCCTGTCCTGGTTTTGTTTGGCGTCATGCTGGACCTCTTGTGGGTTATCCAGTGTTGCTGTCGTCGTGTGCGGGATTATTTTATTGAATGCCACCCGTTTTTGGTCATGTTGTTTTTCATATCATGTCATATCAATGTCACATAAATTGCCCTTAATATCTTAATTGTTATCTTATCATTTATGATTTACACATCTTTCATTTAACAATTTACCCTCTTCACCGAAAGAAGTAAGGTTGAGACGGGCAACAAGTTCAGACAATTTTACAGACAATTCTTGATTAAGTTTTATAATAATGTCAAAGCCTCTAGTTGTGGCAGCAATCGACTTCGGAACAACTTTTTCAACATGCGGATTTTCGTTCAGACATGCATATGAATCTGATCCAACAAATATCACGGCAAAACAATGGACAGGATTGAAGTCGGCTGTATCACTAAAAGGTAAATTATTGCATTTTATATATCTGAAAGTAAAATATTTTGCTGCAAAAAGTAGCGATTGCAAAGCTTAACCATTTTTGTGGCTACTTCTATATTAAAAAACAACCGGATATATATAGATTTATTGTTGTGTCGAAGCATTTGTGATAACACAATACTTTCACCGGCTAGGTAATCTGAAAATTACATTTTCAAACTGCAATAATAATAAAATAAACGGAAGTTTATTGTCTCTCTCGTCATGACCAGGGTAGTTCATCACATAACATATGATTTAGATAATATTGGGTCACCGCTAATGGTAGTTGTATCGTCCAAATTTGAATACTGAACATGAAAATGGTTCCCGATCCTAATTGTACATATTTTTTTCAATTTAGCTTTTGTATTTTGCCCGTTTTAGTTTTTTTACAAAAAGAGACACATATTTTCATAAAAAATACCGCATAGCAAACTTTTGCAAGCATAGCGGGAAAACTTAAAACAGAACTAAAAAAAGAGCTACGATGGAAAGTGATGAGTCTTTTATATGAGGAAGCTATCCAAGCTAGCTTACGCAACAATCAGAAGACCGTTCGTGCCAGTAAAATCCGACAAACAAGAAACAACCTGAAAAGGAGCAACAAAAAACAAAATGGACGAAATGAACATTAAGGGAATAATGACACGTTAATGGAAACTTGAAGGCAAAATATGTTCAGCAAAGAAAATAACAAGACGTTATATTACTACGTAAAAAAATAGATAATAATTTCGAAAAACTGAAACTGATAGGGCCATATTAACGGTTCAAATATTTCAATGATAAACGAATAAACTACAATTTGTCTTTGTTTGCAATTCACATGTTTGCATTAAATAACAAAACGTCTTAACTACGTGTTTGAGCTTCTGAATGATTATTTTTATTCTTAAAAAGCATTTTATGACAGGATTGTCTGCATTTTTCAACTAAATCATAGTTTTATTGATGAATCTTCACAAAATAGTTTATATATAAGTGAAAATGTGAAATATATTTAAGGACCAACATCAATTTTGATCAATCCTGATGGGCAGACAATTGATAGTTTTGGTTTTGATGCTGAAGATAAGTATGCCGAACTTGTAGAAAAAGGTCAACAAAATGACTGGTACTTCTTCGAGAGATTTAAAATGCAGCTGTATGACAAAATTGTAAGCATTTATAGTATTAGATATATCAAAAGTAACAAGGTTTGGTAGGCATATTTTTCGAAATTTCAACAAAAAAATGAAATGTTCAAGCACTTCTCGCTTTTCTGAAATGTACAAATTAAAGGAATGCAACATTTTCCTGAGATTTTTAACAGATACAGAAACTAAGCTCTTCATAGATTCCATCACAAGTTCATGTGATTGACTTCAGGAAATGCATGTGGCTGTCATTTGTACATTTCACACACTCTTAACATCGAAAATCAATCGGTCCAATCAGGGTTGACTTGTTATAAAAAAAGTCATTATCAGTGTTGCATACCCTATAATAAAGTGTCATCCTGTCGTCAGAATTGTTCTGCAATCCTTGTATATTTCATGCAAAATCTAAGACTAAGTGTTAATTGGTTAAAACTGATAAATTATCCAGGAAAGCCGGTTAGATGGTTTGACCGCCGAAATATGACCAACATTTTTTGTTACCATTGGCATTAAAAACTTGAATAACAAACGAACACGTTCGTATAAATAAAAGGTGTGAAGATTGGATTAAGATCAGACAAATAAATAAACACAGTGGCCACACGCCAGACGCTGTGTTACAAACATAATATGTGCATGTGCAACTGTTGAAATTATATCCTATCCTGAATGAAGATTTTTTGTGAACTGTCATTGGCAATAATTCAATTGATAATTATATCTAAAACAAAAACACTCCTCAAATTGTTTGATATTTTACAGGGGATCCAAAATGATTTTACAGTTAAAGATGCAAGTGGTAAATGTCTGATGGCAAAGACTGTGTTTTCATTGTCTATAAGGTACTTTAAAGATGATTTAATAGACATGATGTCAGAGAAACAGATTTTAGTCGGAGACTTGACAGAAAATGTTATAATGTGGGTTTTAACAGTTCCTGCAATATGGAATGATACAGCTAAGCAGTTTATGCGTGAAGCTGCCGAAAATGTAAGATTAATTATTCAATATTTTATATTCATACGGATATATACATATATAATGATTTTTCTTTAATAAAAGCTGTATATACAATGTAATTTCGAACCTTTACATATCTGAAAACGGCTACAATCCGAACTTTTTTCTGGGCTTGAAATTATGCTGTAAAATATTTCATGCTCAATCATTATTCAGTCTTTCATTATCCCGAAAGACAAGCCAAATAACCAGTATACACTCTATTATTTTGGTTTTCTAATACAAATACAAAAAATGTCTTTCAGTCACGATTCATGTCACATACCCGATTTTCAGTAAATCAAATGTGCCTCTTTTTTAGTTGATTTTTATTAATTATATTTCAAGGCAGGCATAAAGAATGAGCGTCTCATCATAGCTCTTGAACCTGAAGCTGCATCTGTTTATTGTCGTTTACTTCCAACAACGAGAAATCAGGACTCCGTCGGGCAATTACCAAGCGGTAGTAAATATATGATACTAGATGCTGGAGGTACTTGTATTAAGCTTTCCTTAATGTTTTAAGTACATGACTGTCTCAAATGTTTATTTTCAAGCATCAAGGGATCTTTTCTCTTCAAATTACCTGTACATATGCTAAAATTGTTACAAGAATCCGAGCAAAAAGATATATTTTTAATTAAACTAGTTTATTTCCGATTATACATGTACGTGTTGTAAAAAGTAAAACCATTTATCATAAATGAATAGTTTTTCAATATATGAATCAAACATTCATCATTAACATCATTTGAAAGGAGGAACGGTTGACATAACAGTGCATGAAACTACGCAAAGTAGTGAACTCAAAGAAATATACAAGGCTAGTGGAGGAGACTTTGGTGGTACAATGGTTGACAAAGCTTTCGAGGAGTTTATCTCTGAAATTTTGGGTAATGATATACTTTTTTTCATTTATTTAATTTCATAGCTTACATTAGAGAAAAAGATAAATGATTTCCAATATATTGTATACATGTATTTTTCTGTGTTTTACATATATATTTACTTATTTTGTATCCTTACTTACGCTTGTCGGGTGTTGTTAATTATGGTGAGTATTTCTTTATTAATTATGAGTATCTTATATTAGTCAATAGATAATTTTCATAGTCCACAGTATGGAACTTGGATATCTTAAAATTAATTATGATGGTTTATTTACATCATTTAAAAAATGAAGGGAAAACTTACACAGTGTTACAGTCATAGCAAATAAAATACAATGTCTGAGGCAAAAGAAAAAGTTTTTCCTGAACAGACTTGTTCTAACATCAAGCATTTTTGGCACTTGTAATATACTTTTTACACATATAATATTTATGTGTCTTGTTAATTCTGTTTGCACATTAAACAGGTAGTGATGTAATGCAAACGTTAAAAGAAGAGGAAGTAGGAACATATCTGGAATTGATGAGAAACTTTGAAGTCAAGAAGAGATTAACAAAAAAGGACAAACAAGTAATAATGTACATACCTACGTTCTTGACAAATGTTCCGGAAGAAGAAAGAGATGAATATTTTAATAATAAAATATCCGAGGCAGGCTACGATAAGAACAAGGTTAGCATAACACGTGACAAACTGAAACTTCATTCAGATGTCATTAAAGGTTTTTATCAAAGGTCTCTGGACAATATAACGGATCATCTGACTTTCCTACTTCAAAAACCGGAACTAATTGATTGTGATATATTACTAATGGTAGGTGGATATTCAGAGTCGCCTTTGCTTCAGCAACGTATCAAAGAGACATTTCCAAACATGAAAATCGTTGTACCATCAGATGCTGGGTTGGCTGTGCTAAAAGGCGCAGTGATATATGGCCACAACACTACCGTGATTGCACAGAGAGTTTGTAAATATACATATGGAAATGGCTCTGCGCATGAATGTAGCCCTGATTGTGATCATCCGCCTACAAAAACGTTCTATGCAAACGGTGTTAAATTGTGTGCTGATTTATTTTTTGCGCATGTTCATGAAGGGGATGTTATTCAACTTGGTGACGTACGCGAAGTACATCAATTTTGGCCAATCGTACCATGGCAAACGGAAATATATTTTCCTATATACTGTACAAAAGAGCGAGATCCTCCGCTAGTGACGAGTCCAGGTTGTGTAAAATTAGGATACGTTATCTTACCAATACCTGATACTACTGGTGGGTGTTCCCGAACCATTGAGTTGAGTTTTCTGTTCGGTGGAACAGAAATAGAAGTTAAAGCGAAAGACCCAAGACACGGAACATTTAGGAAAGTGAAAGTTTCGTTTTGGGGATAATTTAAAGTGTGTAGCTACTGAAAGAAGCTTTTGCGTCATTGACAAACACTCATCACAGAAAATGGCTGACAGAATTGACTGCTATTGAAGTACAGCATTTATTTTTTTGCTTTGCTTTTTACCTTTTAATGTCGGGTTTCTTTTACGTTTATGGACTTTACTGTATGAGCGGAAAATGGGTAACTAGTTTATCAAATAGAATATACAGGTGTATATATAGAGAGAGAAAATAAACAAGTATGTTGTAATCTTGAAAAATCTGTATGATTATATGTTTAACTTTTTTAGTTATAAACACTAAAGTCAGGTACAAACTCTACAGAACAACACGATTTTGGAAACAGATATTTTTGCTGCTGCTGAAAGGCATTCCTCTAAAAGATTTTAAAGAAATTGTGAAGTATTTTCTTTGTTATAATTGAAACTGTAAGTTTAAAGAGGATATTGCTCTACAGCATTCCGCTCTGCCGAGGTCAAACTGTAGAGATAATTTGTCAAAAATGAAAGGTCAATTATGCTACATGAATTTTTTGTCATTAAAAAATGCTTTAATGGACATTCCCTGAATTATACTCGGGTTTTTTAGGATTGTCCTTTTTCAATATCAATTAACTTTTAATCTGTATACATATATTTCGCATAAACAAAGTACACACCTGTATAAAAGAACACCATATCACATGCGTAGTAGCTGACATTTACAACAGTAAGCAGGCTATCCGATACGATCGAGTAGTTTCTTTCTTCTCAATAATAATCATCCAGTTAAAATTCAGACTTTGAAAATATACAAAATTAATTAATTTAATTATTCAAACGGTCTAAAACAATATGACGATAGTATTTTAGATTTTATTATCGTGATTGTTAATGTTAAAATGCTATTTCATTCGTTACCAGTAGTTACAAAATTCAAAAGGCCATCATTTTCTTACCGTGTAAGCTGGTAATTAATTGAGGGCTTTGACCGATTGCTTGCATCTACCAAGGCCGTCAATTTTATAGTTATTTATTACAATACTTCCATTTTTTTCTATTTTAAAGATTGCAGCTTGGTTGTAAAATATTACATGTTACCTTAAATAAATAAATAACGATGTTTATTCACAAAATGTTTGATTTGTTTACATCAGATTAACACTATGGTAGTAAATTGGAAGTGCTTACATTATCTATTATCTTTATGATATTTCTGTATCCGAAGAGATCAAACTCTCGTTAGCTATTGCTAGTTGTTATATTTAACCGAATTTTCGTCCTTTGCATGACTGAGGACCTGTAAACGGTTTCAATAATCACCTTGAAAAGTTGAGGAGAAATGAACTTTATAATTTTATAATTTCAACGTTATGTCCAACCACAGCTTGTGGACGATTTCAACAAATACTTTCGAAGTTACTAACGCCTGTTCAGTTTTCATTCTCTTTCATATTCACATGGCGAAGTAATACTTTTAAATATCCTGAAAAAGCGGTATGCGTCGAAACCTTTGCTTCTAAAAGTGGATATATTTAAAGTACTATACAAAATATAAAATAATCACGTTATGTCAAGCGTATAGTGCTTAAGTCATGGATATATTGTATGAATTATTTATAAATAGCAAAGCAGTAAATTGTTTAAGTTGCGTATTCTGTCGTATCAAAATTGAGCAAACAATGTATATCAGTCAAGATATGGCATACTTTGAATTAGATAACGCATACTCATCTTATATCTGACCTATAGATTACTTCAGACCTATGATGAGATAAACGTCTTAAATGTGAGCAATAAACACGTATACTTGGGTAAAATAAGTAAGACCACCGAGGGCTCAAAGTCCAATACGCCGATAGGTAAACAGGCGATAGCAAAGTCGCTTCTGTATGCTACAGGCATCTCCACATAATTTCAATTTTCGGTATGTTAATGTCTCGATTATAATGTTATAAAATGACCGCCTAATTACAAACAAACATTTATATTTATTTAGTACTTTGTTATCTTTGAATTTTGTAATTTATATTAGGTACACTTACAAATAAATCATAGTAATATACTTTATAACTGAAGTGACTTCAAATGAACTTTCTGAAAACATTTCCATTTTTTCTTCCACTGATACATGAATACATAAAAATTGAAATTCTTAGTTTACGCAATTGGTACACTGAAACGGACTATCTTGCAAAACTTAACACAGAAGTTTATTAAGAATTTGAATAAAACGTATTGTGCGATTGTTATCCTGCATAATGCAAAATTCTGAAAACGAGTTATGGGTCCAGACTAACATCAAATGCAACACACATCTGGAAAAAGAGTCAAGTCCCTTCTTGCAAAAACATTTTTGCTTTTAAGGTTTTAATCCATGACATATGTTCTTACATCAATAAGTTCATTTTCTTTTTACATTGTAATGTAAACATATGTCAATAAAATTCAACAGGGAAGGGTGACATTCAATGAAAGCATCCCCAAGAAAATACAGCAAAGCAAGACCATCGACACGGAGTCAAGCAAGTGGCATTCAACTTATTGATACATCCCACCTTACAACATATGTATTAAGCTCATATCAGTGTCACATAAAATGCCCCTTAATAACTTGATTATTATCTAATCATTTATGGTTTAAATATCTATCATTTACTTTATACCATCTTCACCGCAAGAAGTAATAGTTGAGACGAACGACAAGTTCAAAGATAATGTTACAGACCTTTCTTGTTTAAGATTTATGACAATGTCTAATCCTCTAGTAGTGGCAGCAATCGACTTCGGAACAACTTTTTCAACATGCGGATTTTCGTTCAAACATGAATATAAATCTGATCCAACAAAGATCACCGCAAAACGCTGGACAGGATTGAAGTCTGGCGTATCTTTAAAAGGTAAATTGATTCATTTTCTTCATTAAACAGTAGAATCATTTGTTGCATGTAGTAGCGGTTGTGACGTTTAACGGTTATGTTGCGATAGACTGACATCAGTGGCTACTCCTAAAAAAGAATTCTGATGTTAAAATTTATTGCTGATTTTTGAGTAAGCATTTATAATTTCATAATGCTTCACACCGGTTAATCTACAGATTAAAATATATACATGTAATTACTTATTTCCTATTAAGTTTATGATAAGACAATTGTATTGTGTATTATCAGAGTATAAATTGGATTAATGGTCATCTAGAGGAAAGTCTATTGACTAAGGTGGTTGATGTTTGTTGAAATTTGTTTACAATAATATTAGATCACCGCTAATAGTGTTTGTTAAATTAATATTTTATTATATCTTTCAATATTTGAATACTAAACATAAAGCATGTTCATGTTTTCCGATCCGAATATTACATATTTTTCCAATACAGCTCTTGTACTTTTCCCGCTACGTATTTTCATCAAAATATTGCCGCAAAGAATCATTTCTGAAAGCATAACATGAAAGGTAAAATAGCTACAATGGAAAGTTATGATTTTTTTATGTATGTGAGGAAACTATCCAAGTCAGCTAGAGAAACTGTGCCCTCTACTAATTTATAATTTGGTGCCCTACTGGTGTTACTTGTTACTGGTGATTGAGTCGGTGACAGCGTTCTGTGAACGTTGCCTTGCCTTGTTAATCTTTATTCTCATTTTTCTATGCTTCTTATACACAAGTGACCGTTCGTGTCTGTAAAACCAAACTAACGAGAAAAAAGACAAGATGAACATAAGGGGAATAACGACACTTATAATAGGTTTTTATTACTTGTTTGAACTTCTTTGATATTTTTCTTTCTTAGAGCAATTTTATAACGGGATTTTGTACATTTTTCTACGTACACTCCAAGTTATATTTACAAAGCTCTGCAAATACAGTGTATATTAGTGAAAAAGCTAAACATATTTAGTGAAAATTCGAAATTTATTAGTGAAAATGCGAAATATATTTAAGGACCAACTTCAGTTCTGATCAATCCTGATGGACAGACGGTTGATAGTTTTGGTTTTGATGCTGAAGATAAGTATGCCGAACTTGTAGAAAAAGGTCAACACAGAGACTGGTACTTCTTCAAGAGATTTAAGATGCAGCTTTATGACAAAATTGTAAGTTTTCTTAGATATTTCAAAAGTAATTTTTTGTCAGGCTTTTTTTCCAAAATCTTGACAAAAAACAACGCCAAAGCACTTCTCACGTTTCTGAAATGTACAACTCACAGGTAACCTTTTGAGAGATTCTTCAACAGAAAGAGACTTATGTCTTCATATGACTGACTACATAAAGTACTTTTGGCTACCATTTTGACAGTTCACAGACTCTTAACGTCGAAATGTTATATACGTTGATTTCTTTGGTTTATGTCAACTTTTTTTTGTTTTTTTTTTTTAACGGCAGATTGTGTTTTAGACATCAATCAGTCCAATAAGTTAATTTATTGTACAAGGTCATTGTTAAAATTGCATACCCTATAAAAAACTTTCACACTGACAAATTTCTATATAACTTGGCTGAGTAGGGAAATACAGGGATCGCTGGACTGACTCTAGGGCAAGACGTTATTTTGTCTGTGACAGTTAATTTCACAATAATTTATTTCTAATTGCTGTTAAAGAAAGTATGTGGGACTATTAGTTTTTCATTACAGAGATATTGGTTAAAATCAATAAGTCATCCAGGGAAGCCAGTTAGATGGTTCAACCGCCGAAATGTGTGTTGAGATTGGCGTTTAAACTTGAAAAACAAACAAACAAACTAAGCATTCATATAAATTTAAAAAGAACGTGTATGTTTTTACGCATGTGTACAACTTTTAGTACCTGATGTTCACTTTCTTTAATATTGATTTTTGTAGCAAGGAGTATTTGTTTGCATTAGACGTTTAACGGTCTGCCAGCTTCGCTCTCAATAGGGTGAGCATAAGATTTGTAACCCTAAAGTCACTGGTTCGATCCTCATGAAGCGAAATATCTTTGATAATTGATCTCGGAAATTTATCAATGCTGATTAAAGCATAAAATCCTCTATTTTCCCCTCTTTTGCCCATGTTTTAATTGGACCATGTGTTAACAGAGTCACGCGCTCTTGTTAAAGCCCGGTTTTATCTATGCGCAATAAATTAAATAGGGCACAGTTTACAAAACAAATATAAAAATGTACGCCGATTATCAACGCTGACTATGATATAACGTAGAAATATCAGTATGTCAGTTGTGGAAAACAACGGTAAAACTGGTAAGGTGAACTAGTCGTCAAAATTTAAACTGACAAACAAATTAACAAACACAATAAAAAAGATGCTATTTACAAACATGCTCTGTTCTATGCAACTGTTGAAATTAAACCCTATATTTTAATATAAAAAATTGTGAACATAGACAATAACCCTTATCAAAAATTATATAAGAAACTAAACGCTCCTCAAAATTGTTATTAATATTATACAGGGGATTCAAAAAGATTTCACAATAAAAGATGCAAGTGGTAAATTTCTGATGGCAAAGACTGTGTTTTCACTGTCTATAAGGTACTTTAAAGATGGTCTACTAAACATGATGTCAAGTTTCGACGGACACTTTACAGAAAATGCTATAAAGTGGGTTTTAACAGTTCCTGCAATATGGAATGATACAGCTAAGCAGTTTATGCGTGAAGCTGCCGAAAATGTAAGATTAATTATTTTATATTCATTCGAATATATACACATTAATTTTCTGATATAGACAATGTCATTTCGCAACTGTATAAATCTGAAACTCAAAATTTTCTCTTGGCCTCGACAATTCACTTTTCCCCTTACACTGCCTTAAGCATTATTCAGTCTGAAACATAAAACCTTATTACGGAATGTGTGATCCCGAAAGACGATATAACTCTTAGACAGGGCGTTTTTTACAGATAAAATATGTTGTTGTGCACACAAAAGTTAAGTTCTGGTGGCAAAACACCAAAAATGGTTGTAGCCTTGTTTCATTAAAGTCAGTTCATAAGAGATGAAGAACACTTTTACATAATTCACACCCTATCCTAACACTAGTCTGTGCAGCATTCACTCTTCTTTGTTTTTCCAATATCAAAAAGGTCTTTCAGTCGTGATTCATGATGCATGCACCATTTTCAATTAATTAAATGTGTCTCTTTATTTTATTAATTCCTCAAGGCAGGAATAAAGAATGTGCGTCTCACCATAGCTCTTGAACCGGAAGCTGCATCTATTTATTGTCGTTTACTTCCAACGACGAGAAATCAGGATTCCGTTGGACAATTAGAAAGCGGGAAAAAATACATAATACTAGATGCTTGTATACTTGTATATAGCTTTTCTATATGGTCAAGGTTTTCAGTGAAACCTATTCAAAAATAGTTTATTACCAAACATCAAAATGTGTTTTTCAAATAACCTAGGCATTTTTAATATAATAATGAATATCCTTGCAACAAGATAAATTTCATTAACACAGTTTATTTCTGATTACCTTTGATAGTGATAATTATACATATATTTAAAATTATAACAATTTATCATGAATTAATATCCTTTCAATATAAAAATCCAGCATTTATTATTAAAATCATTTTTGAACTGAATTTGAAAAGGGGGTACAGTTGACATAACAGTGCATGAAACTACAGAAACTCGTAAACTGAAAGAAATATACAAGGCTAGCGGTGGAGATTGGGGTGGCACAATGGTTGACAAAGCTTTCGAAGAGTTTATCTCTAGAATTTTGGGTAATGTTGTAATTTTATACTATCTTTCATTTATTTAATTTCTATTTATAGCTGACATTGACGAAAAAGATGGTTTTCCATTTATTGTATAAATGCATTTTTCTATGATTTCCATATATCTTATGCAATTTATTTTTTCTATGTTTTACATGTACATGCATATTTATGCATTTCATTTCCTTACTAACGCTTTTCCGGTTTTGTTTTTAATGTAACAAAATTTTATATTAATTATTTACATCAAAATATTAGTCAGTAGATCATCCTCATAGACGAGAGTATGGAACTTTGGATATTGTTAATTAAATTATGATGATACATCATTATAAAAAAATGAAAGAAACATATACAGCCATGTAAGTTATTTCTACAATTTAATAATTTTAGAGGCCAAAACTTTAACAAAGTTACAGCCGTAGCAAATAAAAGAATAATTGGTTCTGCAAAAGAAAAATGTGGTCTATCTTTACTGCATAGATTAATTATAACATCAAGCACTTTTGACATATATTACATCTATATGTGTCTTGTTTAATTTTGTTTTAAACAGGTAGTGATGTAATGAGAATGTTAAAAGAAGGTGAAGTGGAAATATATCTTGAATTGATGCGAAGCTTTGAAGTCAAGAAGAGATTAACAAAAAAGGACACACAAGTAACTATGTACATACCTACGTTCTTGGCAAATGTTCCAGAGAAAGCACGAGATGAGTATTTTCGAAATAAGATATCCGAGGCAGGCTACGATGAGGACAAGGTAAGCATAACACGTGACAAACTGAAACTTCATTCAGATGTCATAAAGGGCTTTTACCAAAAGTCTATGGACAATATAACGAATCATCTTACTTTCCTACTTCAAAAACCGGAGCTAACTGGATGTGACACATTACTAATGGTAGGTGGATATTCGGAATCGCCTTTGCTTCAACAACGTATCAAAGAGACATTCCCACACATGAAAATCGTTGTACCATCAGATGCCGGGTTGGCTGTACTAAAGGGCGCAGTGATATATGGCCACAACACTACCGTGATTGCACAAAGAATTTGTAAATATACATATGGGAATAGCGAATCACATGAATTCAGCCCTCAATGTAGTCATCCACCCAGCAGGACGTCCTATGTAAAAGGTGTTAAATATTGTCATGATATATTCTTTGCGCATGTTCATGCAGGAGATATTATTAAACTAGATGATGAACGCAAAGTACACCAGTATAGTCCAATCGTACCGTGGTTAACGGAAATGACGTTTAAAATATACTGTACTGAAGATCGATATCCTGCGCTAGTGACGAGTCCAGGTTGTGTGAATTTGGGAAGCGTTACCATACCAATACCTGATACGACTAGAGGGGTGTCTCGAAGCGTTGATTTGAGTTTTCTGTTCGGTGGAACAGAAATAGAAGTCAAAGTGAAAGATCCAAGGGAAGGGACAGTTAGAAAAGTGACACTTTCGTTTTGGGGATAACTATAGAAATGTGTATTTATAGAAGGACGCTTTTGCTACGTTAACAAAAACTTTTTATAACAAAATGACTGACCATTTAGTATCTTTCACTTTTGAAGTACAGTATTATATGTTTTTTGGCTTGTTTTATTTCTTTATATACCGTGTTTCTTTAATTTTACGGATTTTACTTTATAAACAGAAAATGGATAACTAGTTTTTCAAACAGGAAAACGGAGTTAAAGTTCAGTACAACCTCTGCAAAACAATGCGCGTTGGGAAACGAATAATTTTGTTGTTATGATATATTGTGGAGTCTTATCATTGTTAGAATTGAAACTGTAAGTGCTCAACAGAAGTCCGCTCTGCTGAGGTTATACTGTAGAGAATTTTTGTCAAATATGAAATGTCAATTATACTATTTTGTTACATTTCAATAAATGCTTTAAAGTACATTCTCTGAATTATGTTTATACTTAAAAGAGTGTCATATGTTAATACTATTGATCTGTTTACATGTATCTCGCATTACAGAAAGGACATCCCAATATAAAAATATTATAAAAAATACACATGCCTCTCACGATAATAGTGCGTATTTGCAACGAAGCTCTCTGCCTCGCGTCTGTTATTTTTATATTATACCGAACTAACATTTTATTGCCTGCATTATTACCCCCATTGAATAATCAGGGGGAGAGAATTTGAATACTACGTGTTCTTAAGTTTATATATATTACTCGCCCCTGAGGAATATTATTACTCGCCCCTGAGGAATATTACAAAAAACTGACCGTGTGACATTCATTTCCATGGTGATGTATCGAAATAATACCATGTGACGTCACATTAGGAAAAATTATAAAAAGTTTTAGTGAGATATAATACAACAACATCTAACATGCGATATAACGGACATTTTACAGATATAAACAGAATATCCCATAAGATCGAGCATTTGCCTCTCAGTGGTAATAAGTCAATTAATTATTTAGGGTTTGGTACTTTGAATTCGTATAGCAATTAGTGAAACGGTCAGAAACAATATGACGATTGCATTATGAATTTTATTATTGTAATTGTTACTGTTAAGATGGCATTTCATTCGTTGACTTTTGTTAAGGAATTAAAAATTCCAACATTTTCTTTTTTCAATGAGTTCTGTTTAAGCTGGAAACAGAGGGCTTTGTCGATTGTTTGCACCTACTAACGTCTTTTATTTTGTTATAATACGATACTATACTTCCAATGCATGTATTCTAAAGTTTGACGTTTGGCTATAAAATAATACATACCTGAAATAAATAACGATATTTATCCTGAAAGTGGTTAAAAAGTTTGTTGACATCAGATTAAAGTTACTTGTTTATATATATGATAATTTTACAACCGAAATGTTCGCGCCGAAGAGAACACAGTGGGTCCTTTAACATCAACCCCACTGTAATGGTGTAAACGCTTCTCTGTTGATATTAAGACAGCATTGAATTGACCTTGAACTCGTTCAGCAATCGCTAAAATTAGATGTAGTTTGTAAATTTCAAATGAAAAGTGCACAACAGAAAGCATCTACACTTATTAGATCTTCAAAGGCAGGGACAATGAAAAGCAATAGAGGGGCTTCAAAAATCTTGAAAAATGTCAAACATGTACTTAATGGATCAAAACTGTTTTATTAATAAGTATTAGAATTTTTTTCATCTATTAAGATTATAGGGGTGTCATAATTATTAAACTTCTATTTAAATGAAGTTGAAAAACTTACACGGCGCAAAGGAAAGATATCATGACAAAATTTTGTTTGTCTTATCTCATGCTTAATTAATTTGTCTTAGACCGTTGCATTAAGCGATCATTTTTGGCGTTTCCCTTGGGCGGTTGAATACACGTTTGATAAAAGAAATAACGTGAAACTGGGAATGCTTATGTTTGAGTTTATATATTTTTGAGGTAAAATATATATGCTTTACATGTTATATGCTATGTATGTTGGAGATTATTAATTTTGGAGGTAATATATGTTGGAGGTTATATTTTGTACATAATGATGTTAAAACACACATGTCTCAACATAATTGGGACAAAACAAAATAGACAAAACATTCCACATCATAACATTTTCAATTTTATTAACTACAAAACAATATGCATGTTAATATGTAAGCACTCTGCTAAAGGATGATACGTGTATAAGGTATAACCATGATAAATATATATGGTTCAATGTATCCAATTGTCATTATAATATCTGAAAATATTGATTTATTTCGCACAATATTTAATAAAACAACAACAAAGTACATGTTTTGAACATTTGTAATAGAGAACAATCGCTTGCACGAAAAACATGATACAGGCACATTTCAAATTGCACAAAAACTGTAAATATAACGTAACTTTAATAGACCGGTTATGAGTTTCTCCTTTTCTCTTTTATGATTCTTGTAAACTTTTTAAACAAGTAAGAAAACATTATAGATGTTTAAGTTTTAACTGTCTTGATATAGTTCTGACGAAATTATGCACCAACAAGCATTCAACTGTACTGAAACTTTACATTACGTCTAAAACACTGAGAGCGCGTGGTGGTGATTACATTTATGCAAAAAAACGACATCACAAATTTCATAAAATGAATATTCATTACAAAATTATGTTAAAACTATGATACAACGAAATTTAATTGATGGTTGGGAAACGAAAAACTAAAGAAATCACATCACATAAAGATTTACGCGTCACTTAAAGATAAATCTCTATAATGACAGGTGTTAAGGTGTTAAACCATCAAATGTACGATAAGCTTTAGCAGATATATGTCCTTTTATAATCACATAGAAAAAATATTTAATTTACATATTCAGTTTGTCAAAATTTGATACAAAATGTACAACGTTTCATTTTTATTCACGTTTATAAACCTTTAAAGATACATTATGCTTAAAGATCCTGTAACACAGATTTTTTATGGTTTTATATCATAAATATGAGGCTCAGATTAAGATTTATCAATTTTGTAAGTTTAAAAAGCATCAATCATAAAGATGTTACCAAATTTAACAGTTCGAGTAAATAAAGGGAGGTTATAAAAAATTTATTATCAATAAAGTCAAATTTTTAAATAAGAAATGAATGCATATATTTTAATGATTACATATATATGTACAAATATTTGCAGTACATTTTTTACACATTCTTTGATGTTTGAAAATTGTTTTATAAGCAAATTTATATACACATTACATAATCTTAAACTGGTGACGTATTACAAATAGATCTGATAAAAATAATTTTTCTTTAAGATTAACTATGTTAGTATTTATTACAATAATGAAGCACAGAGGAATTATAGGTTTAACTATAGGCAGTAGAGCGGAATAAACAATTATTTGTTTTAATTACATCGACTCCCAACAGAGCAGACGTAGCAAAGGATATTTCATTTAATGGCAAATCAGTATTTTTTGCAAACCGTAACAAGATTTCAAAAATAGAATGTTTTCGGGAAATAAAATTGACAGCATTTCTGAGACATAATTGGCCTTTAAAGCAATATTAAAATAGAATTACAAATAAATCCAATGAAAAAACAGTTAGCGCTCATCGATATTCTTATAGCATTACTTATACCCACAGAATTAACAAAAAATCTTTTTGTTACCGGGACCTTTCTGTGACGTGTCATCTTTTGCATAATCAGTGACAACCAAGGATGTTAACGGAGTAACGAAGCCGTATTTAAGAGACAAATCTAACGCTAGTTTCCTTGCTCTATCTCTTTTTTCTTTTTCGACTGCGCTTTCTGCCTCCATCAGGAGCTGCCTCACCCAATGGTAAGCAACAAGGCGTGATAACCTTTCAGAATCCTCCTCATTTTGTAATAGAAAACTTTCGACTTGAAGGAATACCTCATTGTCTGCTCGGACAAAAGGCTGAACTATTTGTCCACCAGGACCTCTTCCGCTAATAACAATTTCCTCTCCGCAGTCATAATGAACAAAAATCGTTTGTGTGATATTTTTCTCCGAGATAGTTTCATTTCTGGCGGAAAATGAAAAGTTGATGCTTTTAAAATACGGATTTTCAACGGTTCTATACATATCCATGAGTTTATTTTCAGCCATATTACTGTCAATGTCTTTAATTATAGTTAGAGAACCGGCATTTTGATACGCAAGAGATCGAAGAAAAGAAAGGTCGGCATTCCTGCCAAATGCTATAGGGTAAATTGTTGATATACAACATAATTCGTTATTACCATAATTTGCAACTCTCACATTATTCAAGATATTTTTAGTATCTGTCGAACCCACTGTTGGTGAGCCGTCTGATAGAAACACAATTATTTGTCCCGTTTGTTCTTTGATCTGACTGGTTAAAAATAATCTAACAGCTGTTAATAGAGCATCATTGATATTTGTAGGGCCGTTTGCTCTAATATTTTCTTCCATATATGCCTTTGCTCTGTCAAGATTGCTTGAATTTACTGTTTGAAAACTTGTTTTCCACATTGAGATTCTATCATTAAATAAAATGATATTAAAATAGTCTTTTGATCTGAGCTGACCTAAAATAGAAACCAATGCTACCCTTACTTGTTGAATAGGATTTCCACTCATAGACCCGCTTATATCAATTACAAGAACAATTTGTTTTGCCAATATTTTTTCTGCATTACAAAGTACTGAAAAGAAATGAATAAACTCTCCGGCATCATTTGTATATAATATTCCTGATTCATATTCATTCTCTAATTCATAAGTTATATCAAAGGGTTCATTGATACCAGAATTTGAATTAATTTGCTCCATCTCACTTGGCTTCCAATCGATTGTGTTCACTTTGAAATCGTCTTCAGATTCATCTACAACGTTTACAATTTCATATTTATTTGAAAATGGCGTTTTGAAGGAAATTGTTTTAAATCTTTCCTTTTCTTTTAAGTTGCATTTTATGTCGAGGTTCCGTATCAAGTGATCCGTATCTATAAATAACTTTTGTGTAAATTTTCCAACACTGCGTTGCAAAAATTCTTCGTAAATGAGTCGGAACTCTATTTCAGTATGTGCTGCGACATTAACCTTAATCTGAAAGATGTCAATGTCAAGGTCATCTTTGACGTTTTGTTGACTCACAAGACCGGCAGTTACATTATCTTTCTTCGCCTCTTCGTACTCTTTATTAGCTGATGTCCTCTCTTTTATCAGTGCTTTAATTATTCTGTCATTAACTTCTATTTCGAAACTTGTAATGTAGGCATGTTTCGGTAGTCGCACCCGGAACACTAGTTCTTGATTAACCCCCTTCATGTTCATCATTAGGCTCCTCACTGACACATGAGCATAGCGGAACGCAATGTTTGATATGATTTCGAACTCTCGAATATCCACACTAGGTACATCTCTTCGATTTCTTGAATTCTTAATGGCGAAAGACGTGTTCAATAACATCAATCCCACTGCGGCGAAGATACACAGGATTGTCATTTTACTGCGTCGTTCCTAGATTCCAAATCTTTAGAATAACTCGTATCATTAAGATAGCAGAACAAGTTCATAAGAAATCCAGCAAGTGTGTTAGTATACACGCTAGAGATTGTCGAATCAATTCATTGCAAATGACTGAAGAATGGTATTTGTCTTCCGAAATACCATAATGAGAGCATTATTATTAAAACACGTTTATTCAATCGTTGATTAAATTCATGAATCATATAGTTATGTTGTGTATGAAACAAATCTTGTGTTAAAATATAACTTTTATTTAGAGAGTGTTTACAAATTGATACGCATTAATAGCTGCAGTTACTGAAGCACATCACTAGATATAAACTGCGCAGATCTAATTTTTTCAAATAGCGTTTAAAATCTGTGTCAAACTTTTGTTCGTCTCCGCATGTATCTGGTTATTCTTACGATTAGATTTTACATTTTAGTAAACAACAATAACAAGGAAGTATAGTTATATCCTATGATACGATAGTCACAATATATTAGGCCACTGGTCGTTTATAGTTTGTATCTCGGGCTCGTCGGCTCTAAAATTTGGCAAATAAGAAAAACAAAATTGAAAATTGAAGAAGAAAAAACATTCTTTGACCGTTAATTCTATTGTGCCTACAAAATTTGTAATATTGAGTAAATGGCTCTCACAATTTGGCGATTTGAGCGACTCTAACCTTTCTTAGCTGCGTCGTTGAGTTTGATCATCATAGCGAACGATTGACTCCGTTTTGGCTAGGTGAAAAACTGTTAATGAATCTATTAATTGGGCCTCGTTCATCAAATAAGAAAAAATAAATAAAATTAAATAACAACAAAGAACTGAGAACATTCCACATTCTTTGAAAATGAATGCCTTAGTTGGACTTAGTATTTTTGACGGTGAAAATGTTAAAATGCGTATTTCATTTTATAACTTGTTGTTTTAAATTGAAACTGCTAATTTTTCACTACAACACAAAGTATGAGTATATAACTTTTATGATTGATATCTGGAGGAACAATATTTAAAAGAAAGGCAGTATACTTGGTTTAAAAGAAACCCTTTAAAAAAGCTAGACTTTATTTTCTCTTAATTTGTAATAATCTGTTTACATATATGAGCAGTGTTGATACTGTGTCAGATTATAGAACTGATCATCAAATGATTTTATTAAGATTTTATAAGAAGACAAAACTTTAAAAAAGAAATAGATTAGAAAGACAGACAAGTATTAATTACCAGGTTTTAGAAGAAGAAAAAAAGAAAAATTACTTCAAATCTGGAATAAGACAATTCAATGTGTCTTTATAAGATATGTGGCCACATGGATTTCTGAAAAGGAAAACCATCAAGAATGTTTTTTGTAACCTGGAAAATATAAATTATGCCTCAAAAAGAATGTATTCTTTATATGATTTATATGGTACATTTCTAACAAATCAAAAGGAATTTTACAAGAAGTAGTTGGTCATCATAAAAAAGTTGTTAAGGGAACAGATAATGTCTATCTTACTGCTTTTTTTGACAATTATAATATACCAAAACTGTATGATGTTTTTGGAATGATTAAAGCCATTTTGTAGCAATAAACAAAGCTGTTGATTCAGGAGAATTATAAGATTATCTTAAATAAGGGGCTATAACGTCGAGCTCTAAAGGAACCAAAGACAAACATTGTATTATAATCTGTAGCCCAGCACCAGTGTGCATTGTCCAACGCATTAAAACTGTATTAGATAAACTTACAAGTTAAAATCAAACAGGTTTCTTATCTGGAAGATACATAAACAGCATTATAAGACTAATCTATGATATTATGCAATATACTGAAGATCATCTTTATCCTACAATGTTGTTATTTTTTGGTTTTACTATAGCTTTTGATCATTCTATATCTTAGATTAATGCCCTATAGAATTAATTTAAGAATTCTTCGATTTTGGTTAAAAATTCATAAGTTGGGTATAATTGTTTTACTTAAAAGACTCAAAAGCCTTATATAAAGTCAAATGAAATAAAAAAAATAAAAATGCAAAGGCGTTATAACGCGAATAAAGGTGTTCTTACGCGAATCAATATGCGTAATTACGCGAATCAATAGGCGTTATAACGCGAAAAAAGCGCAGCAACGCAAATAAAGGCGAAGTAACGCGAATAAAGGCATTTTATCACACACCCGTGCCGATTTTGCGACTCTGTAAATATGGTATTGTACGACCGTGCATATATTTTGACGTGACGATATTAGCGTTATACAAACATAGCGTAAAGACGCGCGTAATGTTTGCGTTATAGACTATAGGCGCGTCATTGAAAAATGACTCTTATTTCACTTTAAACAGTCTGTAATTTCGGTATGTGATATATAGAATATTAATTCGTGTAAGTTCATTACTGAATTTATTGAACTCGTTGAATTAAATAATATTATGCTCGCCAGAGGCTCGCCTAATATAGTTATATTCAACTCGTGCAATAAATTCAGTATTAAACTTACACTCATTTAGTATCCGCTATAAAACGCGAATCAAAAGGCGTAATAACGCGAATAAAGGCGTCATTACGCGAATCAAAATGCGTAATAACGCAAATATTGATCTGAATTTAATCAATGATGTGATACATGTGAATTCAGAGTGACTGTATTTACGTCCAGTCCAATGGACCTATAAATCACCAAGTCACCTTATATTGGCAAATATTACAGAGTCTTCATTAGTTTATGAAAAATAGTTTGCATTATTACTCCGCAAACGGAATGATAGTTATAATAAATGTATAAAATATTATTCTTTACAAGTTTATATCTTGAGCAAAAAATTCAGATCAATATTGGTCTTCCTTTCTCACGTTACTTGGCAATTTGATTAATATAATAATTATGATATTAAATTGACATAATAATGCGTTTTAATTTGCGTTATTACGCCTTTTGGTTCACGTTACTACGCCTTTATTCGCGTTACTACGCCTTTTGATTTGCGTTATTACGCCTTTTGTTTTGCGTTATAATGCGAATAAAGGCGTTATTACGCCTTTTGATTCGCGTTTTAACGCCTTATTTGTCGTAAGTACGATCCCTTATCCCCTACATTTTTATTTTATGTGTTACAGTAGAAATTCTTGCAATAATAATAAAAGGTACCAGGCTTAATGCTTGTAACTCGGAATTTCTCTACTCTCAGTATGCTGATGACACAACTGCAGTGCTTGATGGAACTGCAAGTATGAAAAATTCTATGCAAAGATTTCAAGACTAAACATTTATGTAGATTTAACAAAAACAGTATAGATTGTTTCTTTGAAAACAATTTTCCCAGAATTTAACCTTCAGCGGTAGTCGAAATGCTTAAGTTATTTGATGTCAATTTTACTATTTATTTAAATAACATGATTCAGGCTTATTATTTGCATAAACAGGAAGAAATTAATAAGTTATTTACTCATTGGTCAAGACGTAAAAATTGTTGTAATTTAGTAATTAGTCTTACTAAAAGTACACCATCTCATTCGTTTTTAAAATCCTGATTTAGACACAATTAAAGCTATTCAAAACTTCTTTTTAAAATTCTTATCGAAGTCAGGACCAGATCAAATGAAATATAATAATTCAGACCTATGAAAATTGAGGCTTCAGAGAGATTAATCTAAAGGCATTTATAATGTTCATAAAACTGATATGGATAAGAAGGATATATATATGTATGTATAATACTTAATACTTCAAATTTGTTAATGACATGTATCTAGCATTATAAAATATCGAAACCAATTTTTATACATAAATTTCCAACAGTGCAAATAAATCGTGGAAGGATGTTTAGTGGTCTCATCCGGTTGCATATACAGTACCAAAGGAATTGGAGAAAATTTTGCTCACTCCCTGTTTGGCATAGCTCTTTGTTTAAAATAGGTGGATCTACTGTTTATTGCGCAAAATATGTAAATTGCAGAATTATTTTGGCGAATGTCTTCTTAGATAGTAAAGCTATGTAGGAGCACATGTGTCCCGGGGCACATTTATCACACGAGGTGTGACCGATGTGCTCGTAAACATTCATATTTGCGAAAAAAGAGAAATGAGACAGATGTGTTCGATACACAATACAAAGGACATTCAAAGCACATTTGTCTCACATTCTACCATAAAATTCTAAAAAGGTGATAATTATGCCCGTCCGTATCCTGGCAACCAGTCATTGTTCTGTGTTGTCTATATTTATAATACTGTTTTTAGGTCACTTCCGCTCAATCAAAAACTTTCTACCACTGCATAGGAGTCCTATCTTAATTTAAAGAATATCCATTTTCTGCGTGTCACAATGAAAATTTTTTCCAGTGCTGTATCCAAAACCCAAACACATATGTACCGAGATTTTAATCGTTATCAGTTGTGACACGTTTCTTTCCGATGCTCAAAGTTTTATAAATGATTTAGGAATTATTCTAAGCAACAAGAAGGTAGTATATACGGTGGTATAAAAGGGATTTAGGATTTTCTTATTTATTATGTTTGCACGCGAAAGCTTTTATGTGGCCACTTGATACTTTTACGTGCGAACGCGATAGCTATTACGTTCGAAATGGATAGTTATTGCGTGCGCACGCGATAACAATTACGTGCGCACGCATTTGGACCCTGGACGGGATTCATTGCACAATAGTACGACGCTCCGAGTAAGTGTCAAACTTAGGGACAAGTAGTTTTTTTAATCTCCCGGCCACGGAGACCCCTTAATGATCTGAGGAAGAAAATGAGATGACCATCCAACACGTATTTTGTTTTCATCTGAAACAAAAAAAAATATCGCCATTTTCAGAGAAGTGCTGCTTTCAGATCCGCCATTAAACACTAACAATGTGCATGAGTTCCTAAAAGAATCCGGGTAATGCCATAATTATGGAATATCTGACCGTGCAGAATCGGGCGAGACGCGACATTCCGACGAGACCAGAAGCGAGGCACGATACTGTAACAGGAGATCTCGCAATGTCGAAGTATCCCGTACCACGAAATTTCATGGTTCGCTTCATGCTTTGCCGGAATGTCGCTTTTCTTGTCTCTCGCGCATCGCTCTCATTTGTTTCTCAAATGCCTGGCTATGACAAAGGAACCAGCGCGGAAGCCATCTTGGCTTGCCGGCAGGTTATTGACAATTTTTTCACACTGCATGGCTATAGACGTCAACATTTAAGCTATTTTCTGTTTAAATTTCATCATGGAAAGTTTTTGACATTTCGGTAGAAAAAATGCGAGCAAATGTATTTGATAAAGTGAATTTCAATT